GATCTCCTGTGAGATTATATGTGTGTGAAAATTTAGTTCATATAGCTTATATTTACAGTGCACACGCATGCATATACATTTAAGGTCCGCAAGTTTCGAAGGGGTGCATCAATTTTAGAAATTTCAGTAATCTAACTTTACATCAACGATTTATCGATCAAGTTCATGAAAACATGAAGTATGCAATCGTGCTACAAGTTCTTTAGAGTCGTTTACATTGTAACTTTAAATAAAGTCTTAAATTTATTTGCTATTTTTGAAAGGAAAAAAAAAAATTCAAGTACTCACGCAATATAACGTGACATGAGCAATGCTGATGCGATTTATGTAACTTAAGTGATGCGGCTCGATGCAACGCGATAATAATAATCCCGAAATGGTTACAACTGGTTTTTATTTATGGATTAATATTTCTGTTAACAGTTAATTATTTTCAATGAATCATTGAAGAGAAATATGAAATGTGAAAAATTTTATTTGAATTGATATTTTCAGTTACACGATTCCATAAGATAATCAGATTAGCTCAATGTAAAATTTTTGCCTTAATGAAGTAATATGATATTGCAATAAAATTATCAGAATTAAAAAAAAAAAATTTAAATCTTAGGTGTTAAAATGCCATATTTCAAATTTTAGTTTCCAAAGTTTTGCTGATCGATATTTACTTCATTACTTATTTTCAAACTAGCCAAATATAAATTTTAGAGATAGAAAATTGAAAATAGTAGCTGAATAAGACTATAACATTTTAAAAAGTTTATGCATTGAATTTTGAAAAGTAAACAGTAATATTTAAGAAAAAGATAAGTTCGATATTATTTGAAAAACTCAAATGTTTACTAATAAATAGGACTAATTCTAGAAAATCTGATTATTTTTTGGCATTAGTTAATTTTTCAGAACAATTCTTCACGAATATTGCAAAAACACATGTTCATGTCAAATTCTACAATGGAAATTTTTTGGACATCACAGTCAGTAAGAACAGTTTTGCTTTTTAAAAAATGTTTTTATTAAACAGTAATTTTTATTTCTAAAAATCTCTAAAAATTCTGTACTTTGTTTCGTTTTAAAAGAGAACCACGATTTAAAAGAATTCAGTAGTATTCTGTGTATTTAAAAGAATTCAGTAGTATTCCACAAAATACCAATCATCTGTTAATGATTGGTAATTTGTCTTAAATTCTGAAGACGAGACGAAATTACAAAAAAGTTACTTTAAGAAAATAGTATTAAATTAAGTATTATATTTGATTTTAAAAATATAATCATCGTTTCGGATGCCAAGCAATAAAGTACTTTACTTGGCATTCAAATACAATTTCAGCAACAAATAGACACACGTCTTTGTGTTGTGTCTTATCTATTTTGTCAGGTTTTTTTCTTAGGTGAAATTGTATCGTAGCCATTGATCAATTACGGAATCTGTTTTATTCAAAATTTTTGAACAAATTTGAATATAAATAAGTCGTGAAGTAAATCTGAAATTGAAAAAGTTTGCTAGAAAACATTTTGCTGTTAGTTATATTGTAGAAATAAATGAGTTTTTAATATTTTTCAGATTGCATAGAAAATTAGAAACGAATACTTTTTTGTAATGTTTCTAATTAACAATTAAATTAATTCCCTAAATTGAAATATTGTAATAGAATATTCGTTGAACAGTTTTAATTGAAACAGTGTTAAACGGGAAAGTAAAATTAATTATTATTTCTATTATTATAGAACAGAGGAAAATTTTATAATCGGTCAAATTTTGACCCTTCGAGTTTTTTGCATTTCTTGACGTTTTAAAGTGTTTTGATTTCAAAATATCTCGAGGGAGAACAAGCTTAATGAAATTCTTGCTCGTTGTTATCATTACAATTTTTATGAATTATAACAAATTTAATTTTGCATTTAAAATTATATCAAATCTCGTATATTAATTGAAGAATATAATTTTGGAAATTTTTCGCTGATATACTTTATTTTCGGCTTACAGTATTTTGCTCTGCGAATTCTAAGAAGGCTTTTCCCCTCATATCTATCGTGGATTCGGCCAAGCCAGCAATTTGGCGGCCGAGTGGTATGGGACCGCCCACAAAAATTAATTTGCGACCCGGACTCGAATTCGGGCCCAAAGATGCGACAAGTGAACACCTTTATTGCCTCATCCATCTTGTCGTCAATATAATAAGGGTTGTATTATGAAAGTTCATCACGAATCAAATATAAATAGCTATAAGTTATATACTACAGGCCCTAACAGATCTAGCTTATGATGATTTAAATCATTATTTACCGTTTGTTTAAATCATTTGTGATATAGACCTATTTATTGTTTTGATTAGATTGATCGAATCTCACATATCGTAAGCGCTTTTGCTAATTAGGATATCCAAATCAACTGACAAATTCGAATGATTCGATCAAAATAGTTCTGTTTTTAATAAGTTACATTTATATTCCACAAATAAATACAGTATAACAAAAAACAAATTTGAAACCTTGTTAATCTCTAGTCACGATTCCTTATTTCACGTCAAGTTTTACACTGTCTTTCCAAAGAAAACTACAAAATTATGAAAAAAGTTCAGTGAGCCGTATGTAATTAAAAAACTATTTAGGCTCTATACTTCTATTATTACTCTATTCTTAATTACATATGAGATTCCGACTTCTTGCATGAGTAAAAACTCGATTTAAACAAATTCCAAGTAAAATAATACGATTTGGAGCCGTTCGTAGTAAAATAATATTTACCGGTATATAAAAACGTTTACATTTTATCACTTGTTAGGTATGAAAAAACTACGGTACGCAATTTTGAATTTGTTTTAATTTTAAATTCTAATTTTCAGAAAATTGAATTAAATCTGTTTTTACGTTTTGTTTCCATTCCCGTTTTGTAATTCCAACGTACGTAAATGAACTGCATTGCTAATTCTTGAGAGATTTAGTTCTTAGAAACATCGTGCATCACATTAAAGGAATTGTATGTTTTTAGAAGTTTTTAAATGGAGATTTTAGGAAGGGGGGGAAATGTAAAATAGAGAACGATGGAATTTTAATTTTCTCGGGAGTTTATTTTTGAGAAAAATGTTTGTCGTCACTCGAGATAGAATTTAAGATAAATCATGCAATAATTGATAATTTAATAAACTTCCGCAGATAAATGATGACATAAAGAATAAATCATATTTTTACGTTTTGGAATCAATAATATATTTTAACTTTGAGAAATATAGCTTCAGAATTTTTGTGTAAATTTATAAAATATATCGACGAAAATTTGGTAAAATTTTATATTTTATTCATTTATATACCAAGATTTTATAACTCTCCTCCGTATATAGTAATTTTGAGTTATATTGTAGTTTATATTTCAAATAAGATTATTAAATATAAAATTTGTTATAATAATCTAATACGATCTCGTGTTAGATTAATCAATGTTTTCACAGTATTTTCTGTGTCATTTTTATTATTGATAGTGACTAATGAAACTAGTAACCTAATACATAGTAATTCGAATTACTTTTTATGATTTTCATTTTGAATTAAATGCTATTTTATTTACCAAATTATTTATATATTAGTGTTATCATTATACAATTAAATAAAAAATATCAAGTTATTTATTACCATGTTATGCAATTAATATTTTGATTAGTAAAGAGAAATTAAGTAAGGGAATTATATAATAAAACAATATACATTTTGAATATTTACATTGAATATTTTGATATTTAAAATATCAAATTTGAAAAAATAAATTTACAGAAGTATTTTCGATTAGGGTATATTTGTTGTTTTTTTTTTATCGTGGATTTTCGTTAGAAATTCGATCTTGATAGCTTTACTGTATTATATCATTAGACGAAAACTAATTGCAATAAGAAATCGAAGAGTATGCATTGATATATCATCGATTATTTTCTTAATTAGCGTTGATCCTACCTACATTATATCAGATAGTCGATAGTGTACAGCACTTTTAATCTTCCACGTGGAATACAAATAGGCAAGCAAAAACTTAACAAAATATAAAAGTATTTAAAGCAATATCAAATTGTTATTCCACAATTTTTTAAAAAAATTTATTATTATGTGAGCAGATAGTTTTTGTAATTTCATTGTAATTGCATGTATATATTTTGTTTTAATATGTGGAAAGTACTTAAATGGATTACATATATTGAACACAGATTGAAAGAGATTGTTAAACCTTCGATTTTTAGTTTTATACTTAAAAGAAATTATAGATTTTAACATTACTGACATAAATCCTAACAATATGTTTTAAATTTACAGATTACAGTTGTTCATTATTTTAGAATATCGATCAAGTAGCTTTAAAGGGAGTCATGAAAAATATACATAATCGCTTTTACGATCTAATTCGTTCTGGAAAATCTTATTCCCCGTAGGTTCATTGCTATAAATTAGGAATTTAACAGTTACTTCACTGGAAATAGTTTAAAGAACTATAAACTATATAATACCACATTGAGATGGCAACAACAAAATAAAACACTTAAATAATGCATTGCATACGGCTATAAAGGCAGATGTGTGTGTGCCAGTGAGAGTCAGTGAAAATTATGGTTTTGGAATTTCAAATGCGAGTTAAATTTCTGATTTAAATTACACATAAATCAGATACAATGATTTAAACAATATTTAAGTTATGATTAAATATATTAGTATTTAAGCTTCATATCGATATTTCATATTAAATAAGTTTTAAAATGTAATTTGGAAGACACAAACTTTTAAGTAAATAACGACACATTAACTAAGTTGTATTCTGTATCTAATAATGATAATAACTATATAAATTCAACGAGTATTAAATTCATATTTAATATTTTTAATTGTATGAATATCGAAACCAAAAAAAACTTGAATTTATACGTAACTGTCTTTCTTCATAATTTTTTGAAAGTGAATAATCATTATATAATTTTATTTACTAAATTCGATCATATGAGTAAACTCTTTATTATTTTCAGGTGATTTTATTTTCTTGGATAAGCCAAACGCATGATTTGATTCTTGGAAAGAAGACAAGGATCAAGCAGATGTGATGTGAGTACGAACTTACTACGGTTTACTTGATTAAATTTATTTATTCACATTTTTTTTTTTATAACGAATATTATCAAAAATTGTAATACATTTTCCTTAACTACTAAGTTAAATTGAATTCAAAATCATTTTATTATTTAAATTTATAATGCGAAGTATGATCTTAGTCAATTCAGTTTTCGTAATGTAACGAAAAGATATTTTGTTAAAACTTTAAGTATAAAGTAATGAAATACTAAAATTTTAGAGTTTATTATTATTATTATTTTTTTTAAATTATAATAAAGCTACACAAGAGACTGTGTAAGAGATTGTTAATTAAATAAACGAAGTGTTGACAGGAAACGTATTATTGGCTTCTGTTTCTATGATTTATGAAATGTCCTTTAGAAAATACCGAATTAGGGATGTTAATTAAGTACATAATATTCGAAGATTCGTTTACTGATAACTTATTATAGCCTAATATAGGCTATATCTACTTTTTCGTTTTTATTTTATCGAATTGAAGTTTTCCATATTTGATGCTGTTACGAGATTACTATCTTTCTGATAATTACGATGGCAAAAGCTTAATTGAAACTCATTGAAATTGTTTATTTACTTAAAATATTTAAACAAGAAGCTATATGCAACATTAAAAATGTAATAAAATAATATAATATTTCTAAGTTGAAAAATTAATGTTCATTTATTCTTCCGTTTTTGAATCCAGTTTGGATCCAGAACAATTCCGATCAGGGCTCTGTTGCATAAAACGCTTGTAGTTGTTACAAGCTTTACAAATTACAAGCAAAATGTGTTTAATAAAAAGTTTTGTAACAAGTTACTAGTTGTAAACAGTTTTGATTGCATAAACTTATAACTTAATAACAAGCTTCAAGTACTTGCTACAGGTTGCAATATTAGCGAGGTTGAGGCCGAAGTTTTAAATGCGAAAACGTGTATTGTACGTCGGACGTTCAGCGCCGCTTTCCTGTAAGCCTACAAGTTTGGCAATGGTGTTTGGAATGTCGAGCATGATTCCACTGACTATCCAAACACCATTGTCAAACTTCTAGGCTTACAGGAAAGCGGCGCTGAACGTCCGACGTACACGTTTTCGCGTTTAAAACTTCGGCCTCAACCTCGCTATTATCGCTATTGTAACTTATAATTTTTATGCAACAGGGCACAGGATTTTGTTCCCCTTTACGGATAAGACGAAACTGTCGCACGTTTTGTCTTTAATAGACAAAATAAAGCTCACACTGGTAAAGACTACATTGAAGAACATTGAGAGCTCATAGAGAAATACAATTTAATCTGCAGATAATTGAAATTATAGAATTATTTGTACATTTTGTAAAACAGAATTGAATTGGGAAGGTTTTAATTAATATGATATTTACCAATAACTGACTATTGTTTAGAACTTTCAGTTTTTTGATTTATGTACAATGTATGATTTTGTTATCATTACTATAAAATCTTTGCAAAAATCTGTATTGTCTTATTGAGGATTTTTATGTGAGAACCAGAGTAAAATTTTTGGTTTGGAATTTAAGCATTCTTTTAAAAACAATTTTTTAGTTTCGATTTAGAAGTTACTGTTAACAAGTTTAATTTTAACTGAAAATGTGAAGAATTCATATTATTTCTTACCATTAGTTTAGTATATTCTAAAAATAAACCGAGGTGTGTAAATGAGGCATTTATTACATAATAACATGTTAGGATATATAGGGTGTAACATATTTTGATGATTTTCTTTGAACATTGGTTAGTTTATGTTACACCCTGTATATCTGATGTTTATGATGATCCTCCCTTGGACAGTAATTAGATCTAAAGTGACTTAACAACTTTTTTTTTTATAGAAGTCTTGCATTTGAGGAATTCTAAAAGCAATTTGAATATTAAAAAATGAAGTATATTCTTACTACTATTTAAAAGTAAAAAATATTACACCACTGTAGGATGTATTAATCGTATTGAGAATAGTTGAATAGGATTCAATCACAAAGTAGCAATCAATCACAAATAGCAATCAATCACAAAGTAATCTTATTTCTGACATTATTACCTTCATAAATGTTTTTTCTCTCTGTCAGTTAATCTAGCAAATAAATACCATCTTTAAAATCTAATTAATCACAGAATACTCTTAAGAATAATATTAAGAAAGATTGGTTATGTACTTTCCAATAGTTTATGCTTTTTATGTTCTTATATGAAGTCAGTTGCAGTTTATCCAGAGATTGACAACCACTCTTGTTAATATTGTTAAAAAGATAGTTAAAAAGATACTGTAGATAACTGTAGGCTGAAAGTCTTTTGTTAACATTTAATTATGTTAAAACATTAAGTGTCTTTTTATCATCAGAAATATTCATGTGAAATACAAACCAATTTATCATTAAATATATTTCATTTAAAACTTCTCAGTAGATATGTTACTTGAAAAAACTTCATAAATTACAATATTACCTTATTTCTCAGGAGGTGCACATACAGCAACATACATGTTTATAATGATTTAAATATAAATAATTATAATTTTTCAAATTTATTTTCATTTTTAGTAATCATTTAAAAAATAAATTTTAGTATTTTTATGACGACATAATTTAATCGAAATTGTAAATCACTATTTTAAAAATACTTAGTATATGAGAAGAAATTTAGGAAATATAAGCATTTCTTGAAATATAGCAGAATTGTGTTATATAAAACAGTTTAAAAATTTCACTGATGATAAGCCATAAAGCGAAGACGTTTTGTATCTTCTGTATTTTCTATATTTTGTAAATATAACGTCTGCCATTTTAAATCGAGGATTAAAAAGTTTAATGAAATAAAATATGAACAATCATTGATCGTTCAAAATTAGTTAAATGTAGGTATCATAACGAATACGTATGTTATCTATTAAATATATCTGCTTAATAGTATCTTAACTGCTTGATAACAACATATCCGAATCCAGTGGTTATAAAAATCTCCTATTATAGTTAAACTTTGCTGTTGTATTTTTGTTAAGTGTAGTAGATGCATTTCTGTAGCTTTATGAATTTGAACACGTGGAGTTATATAAACTAGACGAGTGAGCATTAGTGTTATTAGGTTTCGGGAATGTTTTGTATACATGCGTTCTTTGTTTTTTCTATTATTCATCCACTAATTTATAACGAAAATTACATTCAGTTTTCATATTAATTATTTCACAAAACTTAAGATTATCATCATGTTTAAGTGACTAAGTGACTTTTATGCTGCTTAACCAAGAAGCAAAAAAAAAAAATCACTTAGTGTTTTTGTTTTTGTATTGGAAAATCAATGCGTTACATTCAATCTTTTAACATGTATATTGAATGTTATTGATTTCATTATAGAAAATTAAGTAGCCTAAGTACACAATCTATTCAAAATGATTAAATTCAAATTCTTGTGTGTTTTTTTTTTCCTTTAAGTTTATAAGAGGGAATGAAAATAAATTTGTTTTTGTATATCATTCGATTATTAAACATTCCTGAAATGTTTATTATTAAAGTATTTCCAGTCATTTGGTAATAAATGAATCGGTTACTTCATTTAGGTTGATAAATATAGAATAAAATGCAGTTATTTTTATTTAGACAAATTATATATAAATAAACTACGTATGTAAATATACATATTAATTAAAATTGAAGGAACTTAGGCAAATTTTCTGGCGAATTTTTAATAACGTGAATAATATAAATTAACGAATAAAAAGTCCTCTTAACTCAACTTTTTCTATTTTAAGACATTTATTCAGACAGAAGTAAATAAATTTTTGGAAAAGGGAAAAGAAATTGAAATGGGACTTGTGTGAATTTACTAGTTTAAGATATAAATAACGTGAGTTGAGTTTTTCAGTTAGAAATTTCAATTTCGAAATTATTGATCATATAGCAAATAAGGATTTATTTAAAAGATGATTTATGTAAATAAATATAAATGATTCGGTCTTAATATATGGAGAAAAGCATAAGACTATTACGAATGAATGTATGCTAATGATATAGATGGAATATTCTAGACTATATGTATTTTTATTTATATTTCATTCTTGTCATTGGAGATCATTAAAATAAATAACTACCGATTAATAATAAAATAGTTTATAAATTGTTATGGTTCCAACGGAAATTCCGAGATCAACGATCAAATCGGCATTTATTATTATGAGGAATTGGAGAAAAATTGAAATGATTTAGAAATTAAACAAGAAATATTGAAATAAACTCAAAAATTATATGTGAATTATAAATTGAAATTATTTGCTTATATTTATAACTGTGTGTAAACATTGTAAATTTGGATTGGAAAAATATTTCACTTAACTATTATAGATAATAAAAATAGCGCAGAATTTTATCTTCATAGTTAAATAGTTCAAACTGATTTCTGTCAGTGTAATTTCAAAGATTGTGCAATACGTCTTTTAAAAATTGCGTTTTTAAAATAGTTTTACATAATATTCTTTAATTTTTAAATAAGAATCCGAGAAGTTTCTATGTATAAACTATTGACTAGAACAGTTTTTTATTTATGATTTCAGTATTATATTAAATTTAATTTCTATAATTATTCCGAAGTGTTACTATAGTATTAAAGTATAATTTATATTGTTATAATTACTCATACAGCTCTAAGTAACAGATTCGTTCGTTGAAAGAAAATGAATCTGTTACTTAATAAATACATGATATATTCTATTTTATAAACTAATTTCTTGCCTGTTACTTTCAATGGACGTATATCAGGAGAATAATTCGCACAAGGCGAATAATACGTCTTTAAAAAACGAAGGTATTGCTTAATATTAAATAATTATTGCTAGATAAATTCATTCGTTAATTTATTACATTAGTTTTAGTATCGGATGACAGCTATGTTGTTCGGTTTTTTTTAATGTGCAATAGATAAATCCGGTCATAAATAATAATTATAAGGTTACTTGCATAATAATACCATTTCGAATCATTTCTGTTGTCAATAAATCGAGAATGTGTTAAGTTAATAAATTAACATTGTGTCTCCATACGTTATTTATATATTTAGCAACAGAAGAATTACGGTAAAGCCAGTTTGGAGAAAGCATTTTATTTACCCGATTAGATTCGATTTCTGTATAAATTAGAATGGAAAATCGATATATTCATTAATAAATAATTTATATTATAAAAACGAATGTTGCATTTATTTGGACATATGAGAAAAAGTCTTTTGATTAATTTCGTTATCAATTATTTCTCGCAACTTGTACTTTCACCGTCTCACTACATCTCATTTGGTAGAGAACAGGACTGTGTGCTATTGAACCCAATTTCTCAGTCAAGGTCAGTGGAGCTCCTGAAATTGACGGCCACCGAGCTTTGCCGTATCCTTGAAAATAGTCGCCGACCAATCAGAGCGTGGAATACGGTTAGTGGCAACCCATTCCAACTATATTTTCGACCACGTTTAGAGTACTCGAGTATTATAAATATTCGTTAGTTAATAAAGTCGATTCTCGCACCGTCTCGATAATTGTTAAATAGTTCACAACTGGCGATGTTTTGATGCCAGACAGTCTACCACTTCTTCCTCATTGGACGAGGCGCTAATCCAAAATATTATACGTTGTAGCGTGACTAAAGTATTTCTCTGTCTACGCCGGTTTAATATTGCCAGTTGCTTTCTCTCCCCCGTTTCCATCCATCGCGTATAATGCCTGCGTGTCCTTGGCCTTGAATCTCACCCTCTCCCTTAGCGGAGAGGTGAAGATAATGATCTGTCGTGTCGCCACTCGTTTCTTTACTATGCGTGCAAATGCTCCGTTCTTGCACATCGATCAGGAAATGTATGCATTTAACTTATGTTTGATATTTGTAATATAATAAATAACATTAGTTTCGCGTTGTCGGAGTCGAAAAGCGAATATCCAAGTTTTTTGGATAGTTTCCAACAACTCCGTACTTATCTAGACTCCCATCCTGTTGGATTTAATGACGAGTTTACTCTTCGTTCTCTCTGACTTATATAATCATTTTTAAATTGTATAATGATCAATTTCATTTTAGAAATAGAGTAAAGCGTGGATGTGTCTTTGTAGTATGTTGTTAGCTAAGCGGATCTGTTTGGCACGTTTACTTGTCCAGTCGGTTGGTAATGGAAGCTGGGACGGGGCCCGAGGATCGACGCTCCGGACGTGACTAGCATGCCCCGCTTGCCTGGCGGCAGTAAAAAACGAAAAATCAAGTTCAAGGCCATGCACAAGATACGCAAGAAGCTTACCATCGATCGGCCAGTAAGAAACTGTAACTGCTTTGGATATCTACTTAGATCACAACGGGTACATATAACATAGTTTACGAAAAACTCTGTCGTTGTCATGATATCTTGGTTGTTGTGATCTTCGAGGGAAACCAAACATGGTAGGATTTTATCGGCTCATTTAGTCATTAACGGTGTCCACTTTAAAAACTTTCAGAAACTTTACACTACTGTGAAAAAATAATAATAATAAAAATCGGAACGAAGCGTGAAAGTGTTTTTCTCTATAAAATGCCGTTTGTTTTAATTTCATTTTACCGAGAAAACCTTACGTAATATAATTTAATATCGAAAATACTATTAATATTTTATTTTTGTTCTTATAAAGAGTTATATTCCTCCTTTAAAAAATTTCGTATAAAAGAAGTGAATCGTAAATGGTTGTATAATAATTTTTAAATGATCGTTATAACGAATCTACTGTGATTAATCAAAACTAATTAAATATTCCAATTAAAAGTAAACGTATAAGTGTGTATTTATTTTTAATTATAAACTTAATATTATATTATATATCACAATAATTATAATAATATAAATATCATATATAAAGTTATATTTATTGTTTAAGTATATATGTAGCATATTTTAAAGTGTAATTATAATACACAGTATTAAGTGAATATAAAATATCAAATAGTTTGTTACATAATAATAATAATTATTATTTTCCTAATAAGATAATTTAAAAATTAAATAATTATTGCTTTAATTTTTATTCTGTATACAATACAGTACTTATAATTTTATGTTTTATTTATAAATAATCTATTTTTAGATTTGAAAAATAATAATAAAATCAAGATTCTTGATGCACATATTTAAATTGAATAGAATATTAAGAACAGTTATAAAATATTTAAACACTTAAAAGATGATATAACACATTTCAGTTAATACATCCTAACCATTTTTATTGAGATTATTAATATTTTATTACATTCGTCCCTTTTTTTTATGTTAATGCAACTTGAAATAAGTCACGAAACAAAAATTTGGGATTATTTCTTATAAAAAATAATTTAGAATAATATTTCTATAATCATAAATTAAAATCAACAAGTTTCTATTTTTTCAAGTAGGTCACTCATTTATAAATAAATTTTAAATAATTTTGTTTAAAATTTAATATATTTACCAATATGTATTTATATTATTTGATATTTATTTATATTTTAACTGTTTATAAAAATTGTTTTTTATTTTTATAAATATATTCTTTATAAATTGAAATTTAAAAATTATTTGAGGTTTTTGGTGTTGATAGTGTGTTTATTTGTACATACAACCAGTTTTATAGTAGTAATTTTTATAGAAAACAAAAAATTATAAAAAAATATTTATATCATAAAATATTTTTCAGAAAAGATTGACTTGGATCCCTGCAAGTGGATTGCAATTGGATACATACACAAAATACAATTTTACAGTTAGTCTGTTATCTATAATCAACAAGAGAAAACACACCTGGATAATAAGTTTTCAGTCAACTGACATCTACACAAAATATATTAAAACTTCAGTCAATTACACTTCAAGAAATGATATAACTTGCATAAATGAAAACCAGTACAAATGAATTCAAAATATACATCTCACTGTATCATATGATACAAATACATACTTCCATAAATAGAAGTTTATAATTTTGTATTTGTATTTTAACTGTCAAAAAGATAACCAATATTTTACCTAACTGTACATGTATGTATTCAGTGCATTCAAAAAATAATTTTAAACTGAATTTGTATTCCATTTTAATTTTTTCATTTAGTTTGTGTTCTATGTATTTTATCTGAAGATGTCTGTTAAAAACAGATGAAAGTGTTGGTAAAGTACTATTTTAAATTAATTTATGCTGGTTTCGAGTGTTGGTTTTCATTTATGTATTATTAAAACTTCAAAATTTTTAAAAATGTAGATCAGACATTTTATCAGTTTGAATAATTGTAATAAATATGTATGAAACTTTGCATTTTATAAATTATCTTTTAAATTGTTTTTTCTTTTTGAGTTTGTTATTTTTCAATAGTGCATTTGGTTTGAGATAATGAAGCTGCTATTCTTAAAACTTTTCCTTGAAACCTTAAATGGGAAAAAGCATCATAAGTTCAGCTGATGCATTTTATCCACTACTAAACTATATATCTGTATTTCAAAAGATGATCATAAATGTTCATTTCAAAGCTATTTTATAAATCATAATTAATAAAGTGATTAATTATTATTCCATGATAATTTTTAACAATTTCAGAGTTAGCTATTATTAATGATAAAATTTCTGCTAGTTTTATATAACGAACGAACTGGATAAATATATTACTAATAAAACAATTATAATTCTTCCAATCTAAAGCTCAGCGACATCCACTCTCGATTAACAACTCTCTACAACTAATAGAAGATCTCAAAAACATTTCTCTAATGGACGATGAATATATGACGGTCTTGGACTTTAAGTCGATGTATCCATCGATAANTCGTTCCGATGCTGTGAAATCCTTAAAGGAAAATTATGAAGAAATTAAACGTTTTTTACGTCATTTTTCCTCAAACAAAGATGAAAAACCATTAACAAGGTCCGAAGCTGCCGATTTACATAAAAAACTTGATACATTTGAGTATGTACTGTTACTTACTATATGGGAAAAGATTTTAGAGAGAATAGATGCTTCAAACAAGACTCTTCAACAAAAAGACGAATCCCTAAATATAGCAGTTTTAATATATGATTTATTGATAGATTTCATACAAACTGTTAGAGATGATTTTGACAATTTAGAAAAAGTTAAAGATATTGTATATACTAATGATAAAAAACGGCAGAAAATACGAAAACTATTTCATGATGAAATTTCAGAACATGAAATAAGATTCAGTGGCAAAGAACATTTTAAAGTTAATGTTTTTTTGTTGTATACGATTCTTTAATTAGCAACATTTAAAAAAATCTGAGGGATATAAAACTATTAACAATAAATTCAAAACAATTTTTCATGATAGTGATGTTAGTGACTCTTCAATGGAGGAATTAAAATGCTATGAACAAGATTTAAACCTAGCAGAACTGAAAAATAAAGTATTACGATTTAAGACTTTTATAAGTAAAGAAAATATTATTTCGCCTGTATCCATGTGGTCATTTATTCAGGAAAATAATATTATTGCAACATTCTCTAATTTAAACATAATTCTGAGAATTTATTTAACACTTCCAATAAGCAATGCAAGCGGTGAAAGATCATTCTCAGTAATGGCCAGAATAAAAAATTTTTTAAAATCCACATTAGGCCAACAAAAATTAAATAGTTTATCATTACTTTATATAGAAAAAGAGTTATTAAATAACTCTATTAATTATGACAAACTAATTGACGAGTTTGCAGAATTAAAAGTGAGAAAAAAGGCAATATAACTAATCAATTTGAGTATATTTGTTTAAGTATTATTGTTTGTTTTAATAAATTATGTTTATTTAATTTTTGTACATGTATATTATTTTTTTCCTTTTTTTCTTGGAATCCGATAATTAAATAGAACTACATACTATATGCTTTAAAACCAAACTACCAAACGCAAAGTATATGTCATGACTGAAAAATAGGCCCGGAATTACAATGTTGCCTAGGGCCCGCTTTAGCCTTAGTCCTCCACTGCCCCTATATAACATGAGAGTTATGTTCCAAAAAATTGCCGTGTTATGTGAATCCATGTTATATGAAACAAAGAACTAGTGCAAAAAGGGGGGTAGGTTCCAAACATTAAAAAACATGTTGTTAAATCCTTATTTAAATCAGATTTATTATTCACTTTTTTCATAGGTAAAATATTTATTATTTAAGTAAATATTTTACCAGAGGATTATTCATTTTATATGATGATCTCAGCATGAGCATCATCAACTGGTAACAGTTTTTGGGTGCGTTCGTTAATAGCGGTCGCTCTGCAACGGGAGTGCGCTGCTGTTTGTAGGCATTTAGGAACGACGGTGAAAGAAAGATGGCGGCGCCCGCACTATCGATAGTATCGTGATGGAGGAATCTATAATTCTAAAATGAGCTTTTAGAGGCAAAAGAAGGGTCCCAATTGTAAAATTTAACCATTAAATGGATTATTTGTTGAAAGAGCATTCAAAGTAGCCATGAAAACAATTGGAATGCTCGTGCTGAGATATAAAAGAACACACCCTTTATTACATTTTATGTTGTACAAGCATTTTACCCAATTCCCAAACTGTGTTAGAGTGAACCCGTGCTATAAAAATTACCGTGTTATACGGGAGATGTTTCCAATTCTGGAACCATGTTAGAGTGAATCCGTGCTATAGAAGTGCCGTGTTATATGGGGGTTACCTTTACTTGTCTAGAATCACAATGAGAAATTTTAATTATGATTTGTTATTAGGAAATGTACATCTGAAAAATATTAATTAATTATAAAATAAACTTTCAGAAGTTGAAAGCATTTAATAAATTGTTCAAATTTAAAATAATGCTTTCATCATCACAATCTACATGCAAAAAAAAAAAGAAATAATAATAATATTACTAATAATATTATTATTATGTTGCAAATGTCATGCTCAGCTGATACTGATTTTAAGTGCTATGCCAGACTAAAGTCAAAGAATAGCTACCAAAACAAGTGTAACATGAAGCTGTGCTATTGGTATGTGTGTCAACATCCTGTAACTTCCTGACAATGTGATGTGTGTTCAATATTGCAGATTTCTGTACCATGTATGTTTTTATTAACATTTAATGTTTCTAGACTTTTGTATAGTGTATGTGGTATAACACCAATAGAAGAGAGAACAACAGGTACAATAAATACCTTATCCATCCTCCACATCTGTCTTATTTCTTGAGCAAATAGAGTGTATGATACTTTCAATTTTTTCAGTGTGAGCAATTTTTATGTTATGAGTGTTTGGAACAGATATCTCTATTATATAAGCAATCTTACTGCATTTCTCAATGAGAGTGATGTCAGGTCTATTGTGATGAATTGTTTTATCTGGAATAATGGCTGTCATAATATATTTTGTGAGAGTCATTTTATAAAACTGACTGTGGAGTATATCTGTAGTATGGTACCTGGGTGTTTAATAATCTGTATTTTTGTGCAAGCTCTTGGTGTATTATATTTGCTATTTGATTATGCCTATGTAAATAGTCTGTTTGTGCTAAGAGCTTGCAACCAAAAGTTATATGTTGTATTGTTTCTAACAGAATGTGGCATTTTCTGCAAGAGTCATTTGTTAGTGATATATCCTTCATGATGTGTTTTCTATAGTTTTTAGTGTTTATAACCTGATCTTGAATGGCAACCATACACCCCTAGTCAGCCAGTAGTTTGATGCAGTTTTTTCAAACATACTCCTGAGCTAGACATGCCATGAAGTGCTTTTTGGGCCCATGACTGCTTAGTAATGTCTACGTTATTTGTGTTGAGCTATGTCCAGGTGTTCAGAGTGTAAGTTTGAAGGTGTGTGGTTACTGTCTGGGCTGTGCCATACTATGATACAGAGAGGCTGGCCACATCAGGCAGCATTGTAAGGGAGTGGCACAAGCAGCATTTAAGGGGCAGCATTTTGAAGACTTGCATCATACTGAGAAAATCTACCGCATGGCCCTGGTTACTGTCTGCCAGAGTTATAGCTTTATGTAATCTTGATGTTTCTTATTTTTTACGGAAAACCTCCTGCAGTGTCAGAATTTGTTTATAGTGCAGATTAACTATATATCTATATTAGTTAGGCCACAGTCATCTTCTTTATGAGGAATTATGGTTGACACTAGTTGCTGTATACTATGCCAAACCAGAGTCAAGGCATAGCATCCAAAACAAGACAAAAATTAGATAAGTGTGTCATTGTGTGTGTCTGTAAAAACTCTTGTAATGTCTGTATTTGTTTGTACTGAAGGTTAACTATGCCAATCAGGCCACATCCGCCATCTTTATGTGGAAGGGTTAATCTTTTTGTGGCAGATTTAGGATGATGTTCATGCTTAGTAAGTGTTGTTCTTATTTTCCTTTGGAGTTGTTCAAGATCTGTGTGAGTCCAATGTATAACTCCAAAAGAATAAGTGAATACTGGGACAACATATGTGTTTATTGCTTTAACTGTGTGTTTTGCATTATTATTATTATTAAAGTACAAAGCTTATATTATAGTAACTAAATTTTGTTAACTAACTGTTTTTAGTATGTAGATTTTAACAATTAGTTACTTGAAAGTGCAGAATAAATTGTTCAAATTCACACTTTTAGAAAAGGAAGCATATTTGTTTTTGTTTGTAATTTTTTGAAGAGTAATGACAAACTAATTTGATATTTATTTTAATTTAAAATATAGTAGCATCTCACTAATCTAGTGTCTTGCTTTTCTGGCGTGTCCAGTAATCCAGCACCAAGTCAGATTAAGGTGCATGGTTCAGCCAGAGACATTTTTACTCTGCCAAAGAAGTTGTGTTTTTGTGAAGATTATGAGAGAAACTATTTAAGGCTAGGATAGCTGCAGAGACAAAACACACATTGAAAATTATTTTTATAAACAGTGACTTATTTGATGTGAAATATATAATAGCATACAAAAATACAACGTAACATTATAATACTATATACAGTTATAGTTTTCTATAACCAATTACTGTATATTAAAAGGTTTAATAATAAAGGTTATGACAATTTGCACATATAATGTATAGTACATGTTTTATTTAACTACCTTACACCCTGCATTCCAGTTATCTGGTGCTAACTGGTTTTTAAT